AAAAAATAACTTCATGTATCACTACGCAGTGATCAACTGATAAAACACTTTACTAAAACAAAACTTGGATGTAATTTACATACAAAAGCAGCTCAATACTAAAAAAATCAAAAGAAAGTAAAGTATATTCTTAATACCGTTTTGGGACCGATTCCTTTGTAATGAGAGAGCTCAGCCTTAATTTCATCAACAGACAAGTCTCGCAAGTACTCCAAGCACAACTTTTTCTTTTTCTCTAGCAAACACCTCAGTAGGTTCTTAATACACGAAGCTTTGGTCCGGGCTAAGCCTCCACATCTTATGGCATCCTCTACGCATGTCGATTCAGCAGCAAGAACCTTTCATTGCAAAACCAAAGCATACAATTCAAAAAACCAATGCAAGCAATGGATAGCATAAGTCTAAATCCAATTTACAAACGCAAAACCAATGCAGGCAATGGACATTGTAAGTCCAAGTGCAATTCACAAACACAAAACCAAAATTTCCCAACGTACTTGGCCAAAGAATAGAAACAATTTCAGCTGATAATAACCAACATACCTAGGTCCATAAATACTTCAAAGCAGCAAAATTCATGAAGCTTAAATTAAAGAAATTATTTTTTTGGTCTCCAAACACCAATAAACCAAAAGGAAATTAACCAGAACAAACAGAACCCGCTCCAAAATCATGCAATCACACCTTAAGATTCTAAATGCAATCATACCCACACAGCCAAAAAAACCAAAAAGCTCAAAAACTGAAAAAAGCACAAAGCTTACATCTTCCCAAGTTGGAAAAGCGGACTTCAGACAAGCAAAAGCTTTTTGAGAATTGACTTCCGTGGTATTTTGAGACAGCAGAGTCCTCACTAGGCCATCCAAAACACTTTCTTTCAGATCGGACTGCTCTGAAATCCCGGTGCCATCGGCGTCGCAAGAAATCAGTCTCTGCTTTCGGTACTCGGCGAATTCTTTGGGGAAGCCATGGAAGGCCAAGAGGTCGTCTCGTACGGACAGGCATTCTTCTGGGGTGGGTCGAGGGTGATTCGGGTATGGGTCTTTTGCGGTCTCTTTCAAGCCATTGGAGGTTTTGGCCGATTTGGTTGCAGATTTTGGCTTCTGCTCAACCTCAGCCTGCTTTCTTTTGCCGCTTTTCGGCATTTTTGTTGCAGAAGCTCTTGGCCGTTGTATGTGAAATGGTGATCGGCGTTAATGGGCCCCCGGATTTTGTTCTGGCCCAAAAGTGATCTCGATGAATTGGGCCCAATCAAATCTATCCATTGGGTCGGTCCATTAACTATTTTTTAAGACAATTTCTCGATTTATGTGTGTAATCTTTAATCGTCTATGTATGGTTAATATTTGATTTAAAAATCTCAATATATTGTTAATATATTAATTGAACACATAATTTTATTTTTCTTCAAACTCTGACCTTAATTTGCTGATTGAGACGGCTAAAAAGAACCCACCAACATCCATGCATTGACTTGTAGCAGGGCAAAAAGGATCCATACATTTGACATTGTATTTGGGCAATAAATAATATACAAATTTATAAATAAACCCAATCTTAGACATGTATTTATAAAAAAATTCAAACACTATTTAAATATAGAAACACACCCAAAATCAACCCCAAAGTCAACAATTGTATATTTTTTGGGTGTGTTTATAAATGGATTTTGAGTGTGTGTAATGATGGGTTTTGGGTGTTAGGTTTTTTTATAATTTCAGCTCTCATTTTGGGTGTTTTAGTGAAACTCCCTAAATAATATGAGGTGCATTTGAAGTAAAACATCTGCTCACGCGTTCTTTTGACCAAAAAATATTCTCACCCCTATCATATTTTATCATTGCCTCGTTATAAGAAAAAAAAAACAATTAGAACATAACACAGAAGGCTCTTTTTTCTTTTCAAATAACTAAAAGAAGCTTCTTACAAATTCAAAGGAGACAGGAAATATCGTGGAAAGTTTACTTTTTTGTTGTTTTGTTTATGTTTGGTAAAACAGTTGACATAAAATGAGTTTGATTATGTGTTGGAGTGGAGAGAAACTCTTATCTAACGGGAATATCACTTTTTGCTATTCTCGGTCAATAACATAATGACATATATGATAACTTTTTCATGTGTCTTTGTATTATTGCTCGGAGATAACAAAACAGAACTATCCCCATTACAAAATAGTTTTATGGGTTAGGGTGGGGGCAGCTAGTTATGGATGTAGAGTTAGTAAGAGATAAAGTAGCAAATCTCATTCTTTGACAAACATGTAGGGTTGGTTTAGTGAAAACCCAAAACCTATTTTGCATTATTTTGGTAATAATATATTGGGTTTAGTGGGATAAACATGTTTCATGGCTAAGCAATCGACAAGGTGTGGGTGCTGGATAGCGCCAAATTATAAAAACATTAAAACCCAAAAGGGCAGGAAGGAAGTAAGCGAAATGAGCACACCCGACCATGACAATGTTTTGCACACCAACCAAAAGATGTCAAAGACAAGAGGCCAAGAAAAAAAATCAAGACAATCAATCAAATTGCCTTCATATGAACATTGCAAGTTACAAGCACAAGCAACACCGCTGTGTGAGTTGGATTGAGTGATATACATCTATCAACCTTCTGCCAATGACCAAATGCTACTCTTTCATCCCTTTCATCATCCAATACATTAAGTTATATTGATTTTGAGAGATACAAATTATTGCGCACAACAATTGATTGCCAAGAACATTAAGGGGAGAAAATTGCAAGTTTTACATGGGAATTAATTAATATAACATCAACAAATCACATTTTTTATATATTCATAATATGTTGGAACTAAACAATAACGAATTATTACAACAAAATGAGAGTTCATATAATGGAATGTTTCTCCAAATAGTTATTTTCAGTCGGAAATGTCCAACTAAAAATCGGGTTTTTTGTGTTAGTAACATAGAAACCTGTAATATAGTGTAATCCCAAAAAATACTTTGTCATATTTTGTTTTATTTAATTATATTAATTACGATGATGAAAATTCCAACAAACCTCACCCATACTCCCTAAAATCAACTTCTGTATATACAAATGACCAAAGCGGTACAAACGATCAAAGCAAGAAGCATTACAATCCTCTTTTATATTGGCTCTGAGATTAGATGAATTGGCTTGCGATGAGATGATTTTGATTATTTCAACCCATCTAAACGAGAACCACCATCAACTAAAATTATTCTTGTGATCTATTACTCATGTTCTTAACCTTTTTAGTTTCCTCCAATATTTTACTCCATAACAAACACATCAAAATGTAAATTGAGTAAAAATAATAATTTCCTATTGTTTAAGGCATTTGAACTATTTAGCCAATGATCCGTTTGCAATTAGACATGATACCCTTTATCATCTCCCTTTTAATACAATCCACATTCATTTCTCATTGTTATAAAGTTTGAGATGACACAAGATATTCATTTATTGTCTTGTAAAATACTTGTGATTGTTAGGCCGGATGTATATCTCATGGCAAAAGAAAAGAACAATCAATCACATGACAATTACATTTATTTATTTCTTTTTACAATGAAAGAAATTCCAATGCATTTCCAAACATAATCCTAACTCATTAAAAAGAATAAGAATGCTATTAAACAAACCATAAAATTAATTGAGTACACCATAATATCAAACAATTTATTGAATTACTTATTTACTCTAATATAAAATGACAAAAAACAGATATATTAAATTGTGAAACAAATGTACTTTTAATACGTACACCCTACTCACCATATTTAATCCTAATCAAACAGTCGCAATAGTTTTATCCTCTTTAACCTAACCCTTACATTGCGTTTAGATGAGGAAATTTGAAAGTATAAAGGATTTCATGAATTAGGGAATTTAAAGAGACGGTAATTAATGTTATAGAATTTGTAAAGTTTCTTGTTTGGGTAAAATATTTAAAACACACTAATGAAGGTTGGTCAGAGTGGAAGGGGCTCTAGTCGCTTAAGCGAGTGGTCTCGGGTTCGAGCCCTTGTGGATGCAGAAAACTTTATTGAGAGAGGTCCTCGCATATGCGCCCAACCGTACCTCGAAGGATTAGGCTTGGGCCATACCTGAGAATACCTTCGGAAACCAAAAAAAAGATTTAAACACGGAATTAAATTTTTTTTGTTGTAAACTTTTAGATAGAATTTAAAGTTGAGATTTATGACCTCCAAATTTCATTTCCCACGTGGAATTTCTAAACACGAGAATTAGTTTATGTCAATTTAGAAATTCTGACTTTTGTCAAAATCACAAATTTATTTCCATAAACCAAACACGGTGTTTGTTTTTCATTATACAACAATACCATCCACCACATCATCCCCGTAGTATGGAGGAAATGCTACTTCACTGAATCTGAGATTTGGTGTATTGGCTATTGAAAAATAGGTGCAGCTTCCCTCAGATGTAGTCGATTTGCCCGACACCATTTTTTCAGGAAGATAATGTCTATTGGGTCAATAAGTTTTGGTCGATTGCTAATAATATGAACAAGCTTGTGGTTAAAGATCTTAGATGGGTTCGATTGCAGATTGTAATTTAGACTAAATTGACATGTGTTTCTCATGTGCTCAATGTCCCAGCAAAAGCAATAAGGGAAAAAAAATATAAAAAAATAAAAGTAAGTCTAAACACAAATTCATATATTCAATTTGGAGCGATAGAAATAAATCCGCGGAGGTAACACAAGATATCAAGGTGGGTTTGTTGTTGCGTGAGTGTAGAGTGTATTCAATTAATTTTAAGACTCGTTTAACAACACTCAAGAAGAATAACATCAGATATATTTCCACTTTTCCACTTGGATACCATAGAATCCAAAGCAAATGAAGTACAATATTCTTTGAGAAACTTTCCCAAATTGTATTGGCTTCCTATGCAACCCACCCAACTACAATCCTCATCAAAGAACAGAAACGTCAAGGCCCAAAAAGCAAAATTCCAAATTGTACTTATCCAATCAAATATTTTTTAAGGCAATCTATGTTCACATTGCATTCCAAAATCCTTAAACCTACTTCCAGACAATAATTAACATTACCAAACTCATTCTTACAAAAAGCAAAAAGAAAAAGAAGACGAAGACCATTTCCCACCAATAATTTACACCGCTGATAGGCCCCCGCCATATCCAACCACATCGTCAAACTCACTACCGAGTCACGACTCAACCTCATCGACTCACCAACAATTACACTTTTTCTTTTATTAGTATTTTTTCAGCACTGAAACTTAATTTACATCCTACACCTAGAAATACAAAACCCATTTTTTTCCTAATAATTGAGGGGAAAAAAAAAAAAAAAAAACTAAAACGTGGTTGAGTTGGCAGTATGCACGTTCCTACCTACACCAACTCGGTACCGAGTCGGGCCGAGTCCAACTCCAGCGCCTGATTCGAGCAACGAGTCCCAATTCGGCTCGTCCTCTCTCCCTCTCATCTCCGTCAACAGCCTCTTCGCTTTCTCCCTCGCCCTCTCGCTCCCATTCTTCTCAATCTCCCCCAACACTTCCACCGCCTTCGCCTCCCTCGCCAACCCTCGGAACCGCATCGACCCGTGACTCAGAGCATAAAGCGCCGCAACACAGTTCTCCCGAATCGACTCGGATTCCAATTCGCTCCTCCTCAGCATCCCTACCAAGCACTCCACCGCGTTGGCATCGAGCATGGCGGACCTCCCCTCGTTGCAGCTCGCTAGGTTGCAGAGAATCAGCAGAACTCGGCTCGCCGACGCCGGAGACTTGGCTAAGGCGAGCAGAGTGGCGATCGCGTTGGGTTGCTTGACGAGTTTGACTCGGTTGCTCTCCACCAGGGTCAAGTGGTAGAGCGCCAACGCCGAGTCGTGGCGCGTGCGCACACTCTCCGCCCTAACGAGCGCGTGCATGAGCGGAGGCAACGCACCGAGCACGCCGATTGCCATCTTGTTATCTTCTTCCAGCGCCAAGCTGAAGAGCGCGCCGGCTGCGTGCTCCTGTGATTCACTGGATCCGCCCTTCAACACATCGACCAAATGCGGGACGAATCCTGACCGTACGATCTTCACCTTGTTGGGCTTCTCCAGGGACAAATTGACAAGCGAAGCGAGTGCGTTTTGCTGCACGGTGCTGTATCGCGAGTCGATTAGCGATCGGACGGCTGAGAGAAGCCGAGGGGTGCACAGCGAAACCCTGAGCTCCTCCTTCGTCCTCGTGAGTTTTCTGAGTAAAATTACTGCCTCCTCCTGCTCGATTACCTCGGAGCTTCTCAGCTTCATCATCAATTGTTCCTCTTCTTCGCGTCCCGGAGATGAAGAATTAGGGGTTTCGTCCTCGGCGATGACTTCGGAGGACGAAGACGAAGAGTAACACGACGGCCGAGTCGCAAAGGGGAGAGGAGTGGGTGGACTCGCCGAGGGGATGACGACCGAATCTTCGGACGAGCTCGAATAGAAATGGTCGACTCGGCGGCCCAACTCTGTCGCCGCGTGAGTGTACATAATCGGCGGCCTCTCCGCCACTCCGTTCAGCAACTCTCTCTCGAAAACCCTAATCCCTTGGTCTTCCCTATCGTCCGCAATTAACGTACGGACGGTCTTCTCCACGGAGAACAAATCCGGCGCTTGCGGGTATTCGGTGTTGTTGTGGTGGCACCAGTTCTGGATGGTGGACTTGATGGCCAAGTTTGAAATCATGGTGGAGAAATCAGGTCGGGACCCGTCTTCAAGCTTGGGGGAGAAGCCGAAGTCGCGGCAGACTTGGGCGGAGAGGCGCTCGAAGGTCTGACCCGAAGAGACGACGACCGGGTCAGACATCAAGGACCCGGAAATGGGGCAGAGGAGCTCCTTCGGGGGCAGCCTGGAGCTGGAGTTGGAGCGGTAGAAGGAGATTTTCCACCTGTGCTTGCCATTACCGCCCATACCCAAAAGAGGAAGCTGTGGAGATGGAGCTCTGAGTTTCTTCTTATTCTTCTTCAATTTTGGTTTTGGTTTGATGGGTTTTTGGGGATTGGGTTGTGGCGGTGTTTGGACATGAGGGATGAGGTGCAGGTTTAGGGTATTGGACTTGAGGATTTGGAGAGTCAAAGAGAGGACAACTTGAGAGAGAATGATTTGGGAGCTTCTGGTCAAGCTGCTTTTCTGGGAAGTTGAAGTTTCAGCCTTCGAGAGAGTTACCAGTCTTGGTCTATAAGCTGTGAGCTGTTCGTTTGACCAGTCTTGGCAACTCTCTCCCTGTAGTAAAAAACCCACTTTACGGAGTAAAAATTAATTAATAATATTTGGGGTGAAGGAAAAGTAAAATTATTGGGGTTTTCCTTTTTTCTTTTTTGTCTGTGGATGCATTTTGGTAATTTTATATTTTTCTAAGAAAATTAAAGAAGAAATAAAAAAAAATAAAAAAAAAGAGTTTGACATTAATGAGCGGATTAGGACAAGAACAGCAGTTTACTCAAGTAATATCTGCACTCTATCTAGTATTGGTCTCTAAACCAATAAAACACCATATATTTCTGTTAAACTGTCTTATTTAAGGGCATAAAAAAAGGTTCCAATACTTTAAAAAGAGTTTAGAGTAAATTAATCTGGTCAAGAGGTCCCTAATTGGCTAATTAATCCATCTCATTATTAAAAAAAAAAAAAACAGAACGACAGCTTGCCATGCCTAAATCTGAGAAATGCCTTTACATTTGAAGCACTGATATCACCTCCTCCTCTTCCTCTGTCATCTCTCATACAGTCATACGTTAGAGATTTTATTAGAGATTTTGAAAGGGTCTTCCTCTTCTGGTAGCGGAGGCATCACCAGCTGTCACACTCAGATGCCAGGCAGTAGCTCTTACTGTATTCATTTTTGCCTCATGGTTAACTTATGACCAAGTCCCCAAGAACAGATGCAACACAAAGTTGGAGATTTTGTGCAGCTGCTTCAATCAAATTAATTTAATATGATATCTCAGTTTCATTCTCTGGCTGCACCCATTAAAACAACATCTGTCAATGACCCAAAGGCCCATTTGGGAGAGAGAGACAGGAGAGTGGGAACATGCCTAGAGAGTAGATACACTCCCTCCCTCGTATACATGTGTGATGGTGAAAGAAGACTTTTATTTTCTCATTTGTTTCAGTCCCAGACGCCGCACTTACTACTGAAACAAAAAAGAAAAAGAAAAAAGGAAGACAGGCACTCTCTTCCAAGTCATATATACTTTCAGTCACTGAGAGAGACTGGAGCTCCCTGTCATCACATCATGATGAGTTGGGAAGGAAAACCCAACTTGCAGTGGGCTTGAATTTGTGAACCCAACTTAAGATTTTTGGGTCATTTGGATTTGAAATGAATTGAATCAGCCATTTTCCTAAATGGACAACAAACGGGATGGATGGGCCCAATTTCAGATGGATAAATGGGTTAGTTTGTTTGTTGATTCTGCTCTTACAATGTGACACAGGGACTTTTTTTCTTTTAAAAAAAAACAAAGAAGATCAGATCTTGTATGTATGCGTTTGCTCAATTGTGTCTGTGCAATTGCAGGGCTCAATCTTAATGTGCAAAAAAGTGTTTTTGACATTTAAAGGTAAATTTGATCATGAAATGTATGCGAATGCAACCTAATTACAGTGCATGAACTATCACTACTAAAGAAATTCTTCATTGAGTACGAGTGAGTATACGTATCATCAAGAGTTTGTAATGGCATTTTCCGTGCCTAATATTCTAGACACAGTTGTTCAACGAAGGGATTTTTTTAGTAGTGAGTCGTTTCGTTCGGAGATGGATTTGAGGAAAACATATCAAGTGCATTATGGCATTGTCTGGCGCATATAGATATAGAAATACATGTATGTGATGTGAATCATTAAAATGTATTTCTACATGTTAATTAATTGACCTTTTTTTCATAAATGTTATTATAAAAAAAAAAAATATTATTGCTTAAAATGCCTAAAACGTTGTGCCATGTCCTTAGCCTTCCATATGCTCAACAATCCACATGCAGAATGCAAACTGGATACCAATCTGGACAGACGGAAAGCGAAGGCATGCTTGGACTAAATCGTCTGCTATGTCAAGAACAAGAAAGAGAAAAAGAAAGGAGGACATAATAGGAAAGAAAGAACAAAACCAAGAATGGCATGCATTTCACCAAAAGGACAAGAAACAGGGTTTCACAAAAATCTTGCAAAATATCCTCCCTAACATGCCTCGTCTTTTGTCCCCACATGATCATCAATCAAGCAAAACAGCACATTTTGTAGGTCTTGACATGAGCTGTGTTCCAATGAAACAAGCGTGTATCTCATGCCCAAGACCTGACTTTCTCAGCAGAGAGAGAGAGAGAGAGAGAGACTTAGAAAATTGATCCCCCCCTTAATTTCAAAGTTCAAACTAGAGAACAGCTGGACCGAGTTAGCCAACATCATAAGAAATTTGTATGTGTGTGAGTGCATGCATTAGCTATCTTTTATTTTACAAATATGAAAATGCATATATATTTTCAATCAGGTTCCTTATAATATTTATGTTAAGAAGTGGATTAGTCTGATGAAGATCCATGTTAATCCAATCAAACCTAGCAGATTAAGATTCCATGAATGAGCCAAACCAAATTAACCGAACCCTAGCTGGCGGATACAGATGTACTGTTTTGCAGAGCTTACAGCAGCAAGGCATTGAAGTTAGAGACTGAGAGAGAGAATGGAAGCAGCTCTTTCAGAACATGCATGATTGCGCATGTTTTCAAGAAAACAGAAAGAAAGAAAAACAAGACATGAGGATGCAACACTAGAATTTGCCTAAATAATAATATTGCATCATTACTTAGAACAGCAGTATGCAAACAAATTCTTACAACAAAATATTCAGCCCAAGTGCCATGATCATCATGCTCTCATATGTTTGCACAGAAGCACTAATTAGATATGAGTTGAAATGGAACACATGTTGCTTAAAAAGAAAAGAACTTTACTTGAAAGCAGATAAAGATAATCAAAATGAAAAAAAGAAAAGAAAAAAGAACCTAAGTAGCCAAAAAAATTCAGAAAGTAGGTATGTGGATTTGCTAGGTTTGAGGTAGCAAATGATCGGACCGAGATGCTTGATTCCCCTGGAGCCAGAGAGTTGGAGCCTTTTGCTGGAGGAAAAGACCCTTCTCTAGTGCTCACTCATACAAGTATAACTAGGGTTTCCATGATCTCATAAGAAGTAAAAGTTATGAAGCCTATGCCAGCTCCCTCCTTTTCTTCTTCTTGTGCTTGTGCTTCTGGTTGTGGTTGATCTTGAGCTGCTTCTTGCTTTGGAAGTAGAAGTACTCTTGGTGATGAGAGTTGAAGAAGAAGAAGAAGAAGATGGTGATGGTGGGGTTGGTGGATGATGATGATAGTGATGATGATGATGATAAAGGAGGAGGGGGTGAGGGGGTAATGATGGAGGTGGAGAGTCAGAGGGAAGGCCAAGGAGGAAGGCATCATGATTGCTGTTTGGTTCGTCTGTTGAAACTTTGAACAAAAATCCAAGCTATTGTGTGTTATCATGAAGTCCTTGGTTTGTGGTAGCTTTTTTCCATGCCCCCCAGCTCCTCTTCTCAAAGAAAAGATTTCTACATTTTCTATATGGGAAAAAGGAATCTGCTGCATCAATTGTTGGACCCCTTGGTTACTAAATCAACTTCCTCCAAACAGTACCTTTTCTAAATATCCCACTAATTATTCCTTTATATTTTTTGGCTCCACAAAACCATTACCATGACTTTTTTTTGTGCGTGGCTAAGTTAGAAAGGGGAGGACAGAACTCACACACGCGAGTGTCACGAGACTCACCATTAAACCATTACCACGACTTTACTCAACATGTTTCTTTGTACCACATATATTTAACTACGATTAACTCCACATGTTAAATTAATCACAGAGTCACAATCTGAACAGAAAATCAAATGTGTGACTTGGAAGAAAGAACGTTAAAAAGGAGTTGGGTTATTTTCCTTTATATTCTTTTAAGAGTATATTGAGACTCCAAACCAAAACTTAGAAAGCTTAGGTGGAGGGTTTACATTTAGCTTAAAATTTTCAAGTTCTTTTCTTTATACATGCTCTATTTTTTAATTGACTACAGTAAAAGGCTGTTTGTGACTGTTTTCTGTATGTAGAGTTTGATGAAACCCTCAAAGCTTTATCGGGTTTAGTTAAAGATGCAATTGGCAGGCCAACATATATAACCATTATATATATAATAAGAAATGAATTAAGAATGGCAGAGGAATCTAGAACTGATCAAGAATGACAGGGGTAGAGAATCAAATAATATGAGAGAGTACTTAGAGAGAGAGAGAGAGAGAGAGATGAGAGATTTGATATAGAGGGAGAACTTGTGGCCTTGTGAGCTAGGATATAATGGCTGTCCTGCAAAAGCATTTTGGGATGCTAGCAACAGTAGTCGATCTTCTTCCTATAAAAAACAAAAGTGATCATTTTTTTTCTTTCAAACTTTTAATTTTTATTGGAAGCTTGGAGCTTGAAGCTGGATAAAAAAAAGTTCAATAGTGCTTCCAGAAAAGGGATAAGATTCCCAAAGAAGCATATTTTGAAGGTGTCACCTCAGCACTCTATCTATGCCTCTGCTCTGATCATATTGATACTCAAAGTACTCAATTAATCTTCTTCTTTTTTTAATTTAATATTTTCTGGTGTGTGTAGTTTGCTGTGTAGGTGAAAGGTGAAAAATCCCAAATCCTGAACCCTGAACTAGGCATGCAGGAATATTCAATCAATCCTAAACATTACTAAAGATATCAGAGATACTCTCTACTTTCAAAATTTATGCTTAACATCATTCTCTTAGTTTGTCTAATTTGCATGTAGCTCTCACTTCTGCAATATTTATAACAACTCAAAGTGTTACTTCTAAACATATTAAATCCCACCATCTTGGTCTAATCTAACCCACCTAGCTAATATTAATTTATCTTGAAAATGCAAGAATTGGTGCCATGGTTGTAAAAGTGATTTTGGCCTTAGTGATAGTGCTGCTATCTTCCTTTCTTCCTCTTCCCTTCCCAGATAGTATTTGGGAAAATTGTAAAAAGCTAAGGCCATGTTTGGTATCTTACTCAAAAAAGTAAATTAAAAAACTATGATTCTTTTTAAAAACATGAGTTTTCATATAGTGATTTTAAGATCTAAAAACTTGTTTGGTATTGAACTTTAAACTATTTTTAAGATCTAAAAAATTGAAATTAAAATAAAAAATCCTAGATTCCCAAATTGAAATTAACAAAAGAAGAGGAGAGAGAGAGAGAGAGAGAGAGAGAGAGAGAGAGAGAGAGAGAGAGAGACTATAAAATCTCATTCTTTTTGTTTTTAATAAGGGTAAACGGTCGAAAACCCCCTTGAATTATAACGCTTTTCGAAATGCCCATATTGAATTATTTATTTTTTCAGCTAATTTAACTATCAGACTATTTTAAATGGCCAATTTAGCTCATACCGTCAAGTTTTTAGACTTCCATCCAACTTTATGTTAATTATAAGGGTAAGTTTGTCATTTTACAGGGATAATATCAACAAATAATAAAGAAAATATTAAATCATGATTTCTTCTTTCTTTGTCTCTTTTTTTAAATTTTTAATTATATATTATTTTTCCTTTTCCTTCTTCTTCCTCCCTCTCTTTGGACACAAACCCTCATAAATAAAAAATAAATAAAAATTCCTAGATCTGCAATCCTGCCACCAAATTATGTAATAAACTCCAAATAGCTATTTTATCAAAAGCCATTTTGTCAATTCCAAAAACTCAATTTACCAGAAACTCTGAACACCATAATTAAACTCATTTTAGCCCAAAACTTTTGAAACTCTGAATACCATAAGCTCCTTCGAAATTAATTTCTTCAAATCGATCAGTTGGATTTTATGGGCCAAAAGCGTGGCTAGATATTTCTCATTCTCCCCCAATTTGCCCAGAGACTTCTCCGTCGCCCTTAGCTTGCTTAGAGATTTGTTGATCTTCGATGTCTTGACAAGGAGCTCATTGTGGCATGAAGCCATCGTCAAGGCATGGTCTTGACCTGAGGTGAGCTCAGTGGCCATGATATTGAAATGCTAAACTGAGGCAAAAGGGAATTTAGGGTTGGTTGTGGGTATGAAATATAAGTTAAAGCGTGGAATTAATTCAATTGATCAATATGCTTTCCATTCATGCGTAAAGTTATGGGTTCATTAATCTTGATTGGAGCAGACCATCAAGCCATGGTTTGTAAATTTCTAAACTCAAAACCCAGAAAGAGGAAGGAGAAGAAATCTCTAAACCCAAATTGGTTTGCTTGAGAACATTGCAAATTGGTTTGCTCAGAAAAACATAGCAATCTCCATGGCAGTGTTGTAGAGGTAGGTATATCTTCAAGTCCTCCTCCTTCTCCACCTTCGTTGTTGCCCTTTCACTGGAAAAACATCCGCATCTCTTTCACTGAAAAAACCTTGCAGATATGGGATTGCAGAGAGAGGGTTTTGGGGATGGGGTAGGGAAGATGTTGATTGCTAGGGTTTTTTTGTTTTTGTTTTTTGTTTTTTTGTTTTTTTTGCCTTTTTCGTTTTTAAAGATTTAATTATTTTTAACGAAAAATTGGATGAAATTACATGGAAACTAACGGCATGGGCTAAATTGGCCATTTAAAATAGTCTGATGGTTAAATTGGCTGAAAAAATAATTCAAGGTGGACATTTCCACAAGCCTTATAGTCCATGGGTTTTCGGCTGTTTATCCTTTTAATAATGGGGTGTTTTTGAGTTTTTTAAAATGGGCTTACTAAACGAGTTTTTGTGACTTTGGACTTAATATATGTTTTAGAATTTATAAAATTGGATCCAAATAGGATACTAAACAGGCCCTAAATAGCTTAAACAGTTGATAAGAGGCATTTGATCTCCAAATAGTTAAAAGTACTGTGAACCTGAGTAAAACTGATCTTAAATTCACATTTGCAAAATCAACTTATAATCCAACCAAACAGAGCTTTTAGATTATAGTGAAGGTCACAAATGGGGGGGCCTATATTAGAAAACAATGACTTTACGTTTGACCCTGATAAAGTGGTGCACTTGAACCAGCCTTTTGTTCCACTTTGTAGGGTGTTGCAACCAATGTAGTCCGATGGAAAAGAGAACCCTAGCAAAAGAAAAGAAAAGCAAACATTAGGAGACTCAAATAATCTTTTTAGCACCAAACAAAGTCCAAAACCAAATATCAAAAGTTCACAGTATTTCATGTCTCACAAGTCTTTATCAGTGCTTGTTTGATACTTCACACCAAGCCATCCATCCATGTATCCAAAAAGAAGTTGTCACACCACTTTCTGTTGTATTCCATTAACATACAAAACATAGCTTAATTTCGATGATCTTTTTGGCTTAGTAATTTATAACAGATCTGGTTGACATTTAAAATCACGGGTTTACTAGGACAAAAGTTTTCTTACCCATGTGCCATGTGCCATTGCCCTCTCTCTCTATCTCGCCTATCAAAAGAAGAGAGAGATATAAAGAGAGGGGCAATGACATAGGATAGGGAAGTTTTTCTCTGTCTACCGGCTAATCTCTATGATTTCATCACAAGTAGGCAATTAGGTTAACTGTTTACCAACAAGAAGGCAAAAAAAAATTTGAAAAAAGAAAAGGTAGGTGATGAGTGAGGCAAGAGCTCCTATGACTCGACAGGAAAAAAAAAGTACTTTTTATTCTATCTTTCAATCTTTAACTACTATGACCTGTTTACCTCTGATCTGGATATCATCATTACATTGAGAAAGTGGGTTGACACCTCCCTTCTTGCAAAAGTATTATAAACAAGCAAACATCAAACTGACAAAACAGAGCATGCACATACATTTTCTATTTCACACTAATTTAGTGTTCATAGTAGCTTTGGGTGCAGGTGAAAATAATTGAGCAGAGTCAAGGCCAAACCATACCAAAGTAAGCCCAAACATCTTGCTTCCTCAGCCATAAATTTTGATTTATGGGCTTCAGAAACTTAAAATAAATAAAGCCCAGATTCTATTTTTGTTAGAAAGAAGAGCCCACGTTCTATTTTATTCGAATAAGAGATGAAATTTGGTCCGTCAGCAGCGGCAGAGAGCGCGCGAAGATGTTTGTTAGCCGTTGCGTAGTTACATTCTCTCTGGGGACTTTCATCAAACACCTTCCCATATCAAAGCGAACGACTTTCTGTCCGTACAGAATCAGACCCAAAACCATAACCACCACCAGAATTCTCTGCTCCTCTTACTTTGAAACGTTAGATTCGCACCAGAAAGAGCAAATCCATCTCTACGTCGACACTCTTCTCGAATGGAACCAGGTATCTCTCTCTCTCTCGCTCCACTTATCCTCTGTTTGGCTGCCGAGAATATGGTGGGAAAATTAAAAGGACTTGAAATAAGATTGCAATTGATGAAAATTTTGAAATTGCAGCGAATGAATTTGACCGCTGTTAAAGAGGTGAATGAGGTAATGGAGAGGCACATTGAGGACTCGCTTGCAATCATACCACCTATAAGAAATTCTTATCTTTCTCATTGTAGCCCTTCTTCGTCAAACAACCTCAGCCTTGTCGATGTGGGCAGCGGTGCGGGTCTTCCTGGATTGGTTTTAGCCATTGCTTGCCCAGGTAAGCAAATATTTTTGCTGAAGTTCAGATTTTTATATTTTCATAACATGTATATAAATAAAGCATATACCTTGTTGCTGTTTTGATGGTTAGGTTGGGAAGTGACCCTCATGGAGTCTATGAATAAGCGATGCCTTTTTCTGGAGCATGTTGTCAGATCAGACTATTTTAAATGGCCAATTTAGCTCATACCGTCAAGTTTTTAGACTTCCATCCAACTTTATGTTAATTATAAGGGTAAGTTTGTCATTTTACAGGGATAATATCAACAAATAATAAAGAAAATATTAAATCATGATTTCTTCTTTCTTTGTCTCTTTTTTTAAATTTTTAATTATATATTATTTTTCCTTTTCCTTCTTCTTCCTCCCTCTCTTTGGACACAAACCCTCATAAATAAAAAATAAATAAAAATTCCTAGATCTGCAATCCTGCCACCAAATTATGTAATAAACTCCAAATAGCTATTTTATCAAAAGCCATTTTGTCAATTCCAAAAACTCAATTTACCAGAAACTCTGAACACCATAATTAAACTCATTTTAGCCCAAAACTTTTGAAACTCTGAATACCATAAGCTCCTTCGAAATTAATTTCTTCAAATCGATCAGTTGGATTTTATGGGCCAAAAGCGTGGCTAGATATTTCTCATTCTCCCCCAATTTGCCCAGAGACTTCTCCGTCGCCCTTAGCTTGCTTAGAGATTTGTTGATCTTCGATGTCTTGACAAGGAGCTCATTGTGGCATGAAGCCATCGTCAAGGCATGGTCTTGACCTGAGGTGAGCTCAGTGGCCATGATATTGAAATGCTAAACTGAGGCAAAAGGGAATTTAGGGTTGGTTGTGGGTATGAAATATAAGTTAAAGCGTGGAATTAATTCAATTGATCAATATGCTTTCCATTCATGCGTAAAGTTATGGGTTCATTAATCTTGATTGGAGCAGACCATCAAGCCATGGTTTGTAAATTTCTAAACTCAAAACCCAGAAAGAGGAAGGAGAAGAAATCTCTAAACCCAAATTGGTTTGCTTGAGAACATTGCAAATTGGTTTGCTCAGAAAAACATAGCAATCTCCATGGCAGTGTTGTAGAGGTAGGTATATCTTCAAGTCCTCCTCCTTCTCCACCTTCGTTGTTGCTCTTCCACTGGAAAAACATCCACATCTCTTTCACTGAAAAAACCTTGCAGATATGGGATTGCAGAGAGAGGGTTTTGGGGATGGGGTAGGGAAGATGTTGATTGCTAGGGTTTTTTTGTTTTTGTTTTTTGTTTTTTTGTTTTTTTTGCCTTTTTCGTTTTTAAAGATTTAATTATTTTTAACGAAAAATTGGATGAAATTACATGGAAACTAACGGCATGGGCTAAATTGGCCATTTAAAATAGTCTGATGGTTAAATTGGCTGAAAAAATAATTCAAGGTGGACATTTCCACAAGCCTTATAGTCCATGGGTTTTCGGCTGTTTATCCTTTTAATAATGGGGTGTTTTTGAGTTTTTTAAAATGGGCTTACTAAACGAGTTTTTGTGACTTTGGACTTAATATATGTTTTAGAATTTATAAAATTGGATCCAAATAGGATACTAAACAGGCCCTAAATAGCTTAAACAGTTGATAAGAGGCATTTGATCTCCAAATAGTTAAAAGTACTGTGAACCTGAGTAAAACTGATCTTAAATTCACATTTGCAAAATCAACTTATAATCCAACCAAACAGAGCTTTTAGATTATAGTGAAGGTCACAAATGGGGGGGCCTATATTAGAAAACAATGACTTTACGTTTGACCCTGATAAAGTGGTGCACTTGAACCAGCCTTTTGTTCCACTTTGTAGGGTGTTGCAACCAATGTAGTCCGATGGAAAAGAGAACCCTAGCAAAAGAAAAGAAAAGCAAACATTAGGAGACTCAAATAATCTTTTTAGCACCAAACAAAGTCCAAAACCAAATATCAAAAGTTCACAGTATTTCATGTCTCACAAGTCTTTATCAGTGCTTGTTTGATACTTCACACCAAGCCATCCATCCATGTATCCAAAAAGAAGTTGTCACACCACTTTCTGTTGTATTCCATTAACATACAAAACATAGCTTAATTTCGATGATCTTTTTGGCTTAGTAATTTATAACAGATCTGGTTGACATTTAAAATCACGGGTTTACTAGGACAAAAGTTTTCTTACCCATGTGCCATGTGCCATTGCCCTCTCTCTCTATCTCGCCTATCAAAAGAAGAGAGAGATATAAAGAGAGGGGCAATGACATAGGATAGGGAAGTTTTTCTCTGTCTACCGGCTAATCTCTATGATTTCATCACAAGTAGGCAATTAGGTTAACTGTTTACCAACAAGAAGGCAAAAAAAAATTTGAAAAAAGAAAAGGTAGGTGATGAGTGAGGCAAGAGCTCCTATGACTCGACAGGAAAAAAAAAGTACTTTTTATTCTATCTTTCAATCTTTAACTACTATGACCTGTTTACCTCTGATCTGGATATCATCATTACATTGAGAAAGTGGGTTGACACCTCCCTTCTTGCAAAAGTATTATAAACAAGCAAACATCAAACTGACAAAACAGAGCATGCACATACATTTTCTATTTCACACTAATTTAGTGTTCATAGTAGCTTTGGGTGCAGGTGAAAATAATTGAGCAGAGTCAAGGCCAAACCATACCAAAGTAAGCCCAAACATCTTGCTTCCTCAGCCATAAATTTTGATTTATGGGCTTCAGAAACTTAAAATAAATAAAGCCCAGATTCTATTTTTGTTAGAAAGAAGAGCCCACGTTCTATTTTATTCGAATAAGAGATGAAATTTGGTCCGTCAGCAGCGGCAGAGAGCGCGCGAAGATGTTTGTTAGCCGTTGCGTAGTTACATTCTCTCTGGGGACTTTCATCAAACACCTTCCCATATCAAAGCGAACGACTTTCTGTCCGTACAGAATCAGACCCAAAACCATAACCACCACCAGAATTCTCTGCTCCTCTTACTTTGAAACGTTAGATTCGCACCAGAAAGAGCAAATCCATCTCTACGTCGACACTCTTCTCGAATGGAACCAGGTATCTCTCTCTCTCTCGCTCCACTTATCCTCTGTTTGGCTGCCGAGAATATGGTGGGAAAATTAAAAGGACTTGAAATAAGATTGCAATTGATGAAAATTTTGAAATTGCAGCGAATGAATTTGACCGCTGTTAAAGAGGTGAATGAGGTAATGGAGAGGCACATTGAGGACTCGCTTGCAATCATACCACCTATAAGAAATTCTTATCTTTCTCATTGTAGCCCTTCTTCGTCAAACAACCTCAGCCTTGTCGATGTGGGCAGCGGTGCGGGTCTTCCTGGATTGGTTTTAGCCATTGCTTGCCCAGGTAAGCAAATATTTTTGCTGAAGTTCAGATTTTTATATTTTCATAACATGTATATAAATAAAGCATATACCTTGTTGCTGTTTTGATGGTTAGGTTGGGAAGTGACCCTCATGGAGTCTATGAATAAGCGATGCCTTTTTCTGGAGCATGTTGTCAGTCATATTGGTTTGTCAAATGTTCAAATTGTAAGAGGAAGAGCAGAGGTATTGTTTTTTGTTCTTCAATAAACACTACAGATATTGAGATAGAAATTGGTTTCTACTGGATGTATCAAATTGAGTATTTGAAATTTTGTTATAGGACAGAATTTGGGGCAGGCTCTTTGTTTCAGGGAGAAATTTGATGTGGCAGTAGCCAGAGCTGTTGCAGAGATGAGAGTTCTAGGTAGGAATGAAAATCTCCTGTCTTGGTTTCATCTGTGTATTTTCAAGACTTCAAATTGGTTCATTACTGTCTTAGTTGCTGAGTCTTGTTACTTTGATGGTCAGCTGAATACTGTCTACCTCTTGTTTGCGTTGGCGGTTTGTTTGTAGCTGCAAAGGGCCATGATCCGGAGGTAACACATCAACCTGTTCTTTCTGAAATTGAGTTCAAAATGCCACACACACCAAAAAAAAAAAAAAAAAAACTACCTATCCATTGATACTAATACCACTATGCTATATAAACTATTAACAATCTTGGGGTGTGTATATTCTTTCTAGGGACTTATGATTTCTTTTGGCAACATGATGGACTGTCCATCTTTTCTTTAGTGCAATGAATCTTTTTAGAAATGAACAATTAAGCACTCTGCATATTTCGTACATTTGAACAGGTGGAAGTTAGGAATGCAGAAAAAGCAATTCAGATATTGGGTGCTTCCGTACTGCAACTGTGCCCAGGCATGTCATATTCTCTATTTGAAAATTTAACCAAGCCATCATGTATATGGTTATGATCTACAGATACAACGACAACATGTTTACTAATGTAACCTCTATTTGTATCCAGTGGAATCGCACAGCCCGTACGGACAGAGAACTGCCATTGTATGTTTGAAAACGAGTCCTACCCCGAGGAAGTATCCTCGCGATCCAGGTACCCCAGAGAAAACACCACTGTAAATAATTAAGATGCCCATTTCAAATGTTCTATTTAGTAGGCATTCCTTTCCCATTCATCAGTTATTTGTGTAACAACTTCTACTTTGGAAATGAAATGCTACAGTTTACAAGTTGCTGTCATTGTGTGTGGTGTAGATTGGTGTAGGCGTTTCTCCGAATAAGTAAGTGTTGGATAAATCAAGAGAACTTTCATGATTTTCGTTCTAGCTTTTGCAGAGCTAACACTTAAAACAGGTATTTAAATAAGTGAAAATTTTCTAGGAAAAGACTAAGGGGATGAGCCCATCTACTCATGAAGAGCTAGCAAGTGCTATCTGTTGCAATATAACAAGTAAAACTCTGAATACTCAATTAGAGTAGTAAAACTGGGGAAATCGACAAATAGTTTGATGTATTGTATCCAGAATGATGTTGCGTAGAAGCCTGGAAATCCATAACAGCAAGATTGACTGGTGCCCTGCTTAAAGAATGAAATTAGCAAGATTGAATCTGCAGCAAGATTCCAGATTCAGGAAGAAAACAAATATATCTGATAAAAACAGGAAGATGAGAACTGAGCATGAACTGCTTTTCCACCATTAAACTACTGCTAACTGAGTCATTAAGGCACCTCATTTGGTGCCAAACTTACCTATATTTGTTGAATTGTAACCCCTCCTCTTTTTTAGTCAATATGTACTTCATGGGGGCCTCTCTGCTTTTTTTCTCTGCACAATCACAGACGTACATACTTTAGTGTATGTCTACCTTTGGCCAACACCATCCATCCACCCCTTTTGATCTCAAACTTTGGGTATTTAAAGTCACTTTTTGTACTATATAAAATTAAGAGAGAGAAAAAGTTGAGCATTGGAAACCTTGGCTAAGCATGCACGTAATCAAAATTAAACTTAAGTTTTAACATATACAAGATTATCCAAGTGTTAATTTTTTATTATTAATGATGATACAATGTTACTTGCATGATAGCAATTGTCAAGGAGTGGGATTTGATTTGAGACAAAAAGAAAAAAATTTGAATTAGGTTAGAAATAATGGTGTGAGAATATTAAAATGACTGTGTTACCTAACTTCACCTCCACTTGTAATAATACATTTGTTTAGGTCAAAGTTTAATCCCATCCCATCGATTGACAGTAACATGTTAAATTGCCACGTAAACATAGTACAAAATCATTTGTTTATTACAGTAAATAAAGGATATGATGTAACTAAGTAAGTTAACAAGCTTTCATTATTGCACACTTGATGATTAACTACTAATTAATCAGCTTGGGATAAGTCCTGCTATCTGCTCCTATGGAAGAAGCTTTCCTCTTATTGTGAAAAAAAGGTTGATGCAGAAAATATCTTGCTTTAATTGCCTGAAATGAACCCAACTTGGAGCCGACAAAGGAAGATATATATTGAGAATGTGGACAATGGAAGGTGAGATTAACAAAAGAATGAGCCAAAAAGAACAATTAGCGACTAATCGTCACCACAATGCATGCTAATCGTCACCACAATGCATGCTAATTGCCAACCAATCCTGCTTTAAGCAGAGAAGTTTATCTCTTAGCCACTTTTTTTTTTTTTTTTTTGTGTGGATACCATGAGGTGTTCCCACACCCGAATGGTGGGATTAATCCTTGCTTAGGGTTCAACTTGCCCCTTGCCACAAAGTGCTTCCAATAGGTTTCGAAGCCTTGCCATTAAGGCACTAAGTAGCTCGCCAACTGCAACACACCTTGTAGTTATCTCTTAGCCACTATTAAGAAACTGTTTCCATGTTTCATATATTTTATTTTTCTTGAATTTCAGATTTAGTCTCTTTTTTTTTTCTTTTTTTTTTTAAAAAAAAAAAATATATAAACAATAGTCTAAATTAGAGAGGAGGGGGATTTCTAGACCCGTTAGCCTTTTGAGTTCGAATTCATTTCAAATTTGGTCAGAAGTCAATTATTGGCCCTAATATATTTTAGGTTTCCCCATATTTTCCCACTTTTTATTTTAATTTTTATTATTTGTGAGGTGGGGTTCCTATCTGGGACGCATATTTGTTCATCAATTAAAAAAAAAACAAGGTTTTTCTATTCTTATTGCTATTGTCACTTTGTGATAAACAACATAAACATTTGGATATTTCTAATATATTTTAGCCAGAGCATCCACAACAGTGGACTCCCACATGCATGTTGATAGAGAAATGCCATACAATAATTTAGCGCACACAAATAGAAAGCTCATAAATTATTTCATCTCTTTTATTATATTAATTATGAGCTGAGAGAAATTAAGAAGAGATGGCACAAACACAATCTCTCCTCTCATTGCCTACGCCAAAACACTAAATTGCCCACAGACTCAATTAGAGGAAGATTAACAAGTAATTAAGAAAGAAATTAAAACCCTAATTACTAGGAACAAAGACCTGCCAGACTTTGATGTCACAGTCCAAACTACCACTGTAAATAATACAAGACATGTTAGATGAGCTGCAATGGTCATCATCAACTGCAGCAGTTAAACACTTGACAGGACCATTATGCCCTTCCAAAACTGCTAAGCACGTGTAGCTTCTATCAACCCCTCTCCAAATTCTTATGCTTTTGTCTGCAGAGCCACTGCAGACCAAGTCAGAAACCACAGCCAAGCACAAAATTGACTTTGTGTGCCCTCTAAGCGCACCCACAACCTCCATGTGAGCCTCACCTTCCTTCTTCTCCCACACCACAATGGACCTGTCGCATGCCCCCGAAAACAACACACAGCCATCTCTGCTCAGAGCAAGCGCATTCACCCCAGAATTGTGCTTCTCTAATGTGGCAACTAAATAATGTTTCTTTTCTCCCAAGTCTTTTCTCCACACCTTGATTCTTTTGTCTGCTGATCCAGTGTAGACATGTCCATCGTTTGATGATGTGACTGCGTTTATCGCATCATCGTGCGCGTTCCTTACTGACTCCAGGCATCTGAAGTCTGTTGTGCTCCACACCTTGAGCGTTCGATCCCACGAAACGGAGTACAGAAGCTGCTCATCACTTGACAAGGCCAGGGCAGACACAGTGTCCACATGATGAACCCATGTGCACTTCTTGTGCCTTCTTATTTGGACATGGTTATTGGGCATCAGGAGCTTCGCAGCGCGGTCGCCAAGCGTTGGAAGTGTGGCTAGCCGCGAGCACTTTTGGCGATCGTGCTCGTGGTGGGTGTTGATTTTCCACACTCGGATTTTGTGGTCTTGATGAGCACTGAAGAGCTTGTCACCTGAAATTGCTAAGGACTTCACGGCACCCTTTCCAGCAGCCACCATGTTGTGATCAAGAGTTGGGTTTTCGCTGTCGAATTCGTGTAAAGAGTTGCACCTCCATGACCTGACTTCTCCGTGGGAAGGGCCGGTGTAGATGCAGTT